CACATAAGTCACAAAAAGATTGTACAGGTAAAAACAAAGTAGGAGAATTCATTTAAATTGATAGAATTCACTTAAAACCAAGGGATGCACTTTGTTGGGAGGAAACCCTAAAGCTTTATTATTTCTACTGCTATTTAGAAAGTCCCCTGTGAAAACATTATATAGTTAATTAGTCAAAAGAGAAAAGAAAAAGCACTAATTCTTTCATTCCACATGCTTTAGTATCTGTTTTTATATGAAGCAACAACATAGTTCAAAGATGCAGAAACAATTCATCAGGTCCGTGCTGCCAAAAAGGGTGGTTTTCTGCATTGGGGTGGGGGTGGAACAACTCTATTGTTCTGCAGTGAGCTAATTCATAAGGAAATAAACCCTGTTATAACAATATTTTAAAAACAAGTGCTTTTCTGTCATAGCTATTTTCCTGTCCATTGAGACTATAATTACTTACATTTAGCTCTTAGGCAATAAGTACAGTGAGAGAATGTTAGCATTTCACTCACATGAAATTAACACAATGGAGTAAAAATAATTTGCTATCCATTTCATGCATTAAGAGTCTCTCTCTCGAAAAAAAGGTCAACACTGCAATGGCCTAAAAGAAATGTTTAAACAGCTACAAAATGCTAAGTGACCACTTGCTCCACAGTGAATTTATTTAGTCTATTATCCTTAATTCTGACTCCTTTAATTGTGCCCATTTCCCTTAGCACTATCAATAGCTAACAGAAACACACATTCAAAATTATATTAACCAGTGAAAGGATCAATTACAGCACCTTGGCAGAGCTCAGTATACATACATACACAACCAATGCCCCCTAGAGCAAAGAAAATCCCTGTGGTCTCAGGCACCTCCCATACCTGTGATCAAATGTAAGAAATGGAACAGGAATATTATTTTCCATTCCAACACTGTACTATAACATACAGCATTGGGGTGGTGGGGGAAGACCATCACTGTCACTTCTGCAAAGGTAGATTCTGTCTCACATGCCTAAAAGAGTTCTTTGAAAGAATCAACAAGCATATAGATTAATGGAAACCTAATTTATACCGTATGCCAAGTTCTCCAAAAGACTTCTGATGAAGTGCTTCTTTGAACATACTTAAGGAAATAAAACAGCCATAGAATGAGAGAAAAGAGATAAGCCATAGGTAAATAACTAAGAAAACAGAAGACAAATGTGGTGTGCTCTCGGAGGCAGAGATAGTCACTGAAGTTCTGCTGGGACACATGCTATTGCACACATTAACAAAAAATAACAACAACAACAACAACAAAACCCCTTCATTAAAAAAAACAAAACAAAAAAAACCCACACCAAAACCCAAACAAACAAAAACAAACAAACAAACAAACAAACCAAAAAAATCAACCCCCAAAAAACACCCAGAGATGTAACAGTTTTAAACTATTTAGGATAGTCAAGGTGCAAGCCAAACGTGGAGACCTGTAGATCTCCAAGCCTATGTGAATGTTAAAGCAACAGGCAAAATTTGATGTAGAAATTTATACATATATATATACATATACACACACCAAGAAAAAATCCTAATCCATTTGGGCTCCAACTGATGGTTACCACTCATAAATGACATACTTTGGTTATGACTGTCGCAAAACACCAGTTCAATACTTGCTTTTCCAACCACGGACTGAACATCAGGAATAAAAAAGGGGGAAAGAAGAAGAAAATAAAACTGTTTGTTCACAACTTGATTATCATGTGCATTTCTGGAACTTCCCCCATTTCAAAATTAACAGAAGTGAAAAAACTTCAGAGAAAGACAGAAGGTAGAGCAATAAGTATGGAATAGCTTCTATGTAAAGAATGACTAAAGATGTGTCTTGAGTTTGGAAAAATTATAGGGTGAAGATGGGACAAGATTTATCAAGGTTTATCATATGGAGAGGGACGAGATTAATTTAGAACTTAATCTAAAAATTTAAACTCACCAAATAATGAGAAACTAATCCAGTTTCGTACAAGACTGATCTTTTTCTGACCTACAAGTTTTTGGAGCCTGAAAGACCACATGGAAAACTGTATCATATTTGCCATCCTATGCTCATCCCTAGACCTGAGCCTTTAGCCAGTATTGGAAACACCATGCACACTACTGGCTAAGCACATGAACAAGGCAGAGAAGGGTAACTAATCCATGGAGATGAAAAATAATTGAAGACATCAGTCTGCATTTTTTCAGGATACAGCAAACTGGACAAACCACAATGGGATGAAGGGGAACGTGCAATACTGCATTTTTCTGTACAGTAAGTTCTGAACTACAGACTGGATCTCTGTTTGAGTAGAAGTTGACTGAAAATACACCAGACATCTCAGTGAGATTAACCTATTTTCCCTCCATTGCATATATACACATATATATATATCTCTCTATATATACACCTCTGTCAACTATTTCCTGGTTTTCCAATAAACAGCATTTTACAGAAATTCACAGCATCCATGCTCTATTAGTTATATGATGATTTCTTGGTAGATGACCAGGTTTGTCACTGCTATTCCTTGTATTTGAGGGTCTTCAATTTGAAAAGATTTTCTAGGAGTTAGTTCTCATATTAGTTTCTAAATAAAAGAATGCTGTGGTGAGGTAAATAATACTAAATGCTAAAAATACTAGCTATGCCTTGAAACACCTGATATGCAGAGCTGCTAATGAAATAGGAAGCTGATCCAACCTTATGAAGTTTTGACATGCCTATCTAATAGAGAGTCACTACAGATATGTGTGAAAACAAAAGACCCAACACAAACCAAATCCAGAATTTCTCATAAAACTTCATACATTTCTGCCTACAACAGAAACGTATTTCCTTCTCTTCTTCAACCAGTTACTATTTCCTGACTACCCTTTCTTTGTAGTGTATTATAAACACACTAAAAGACACGGGCACATATGTTTTCTGCTACTTTGTGAACATTTGAGTCAGCAGGCTGCACCCTCAACTATGTTGTTTAATTAAAGCATTAATTTCCACTCTGCCTCCCTACTCTTCCCAAGTACTGCTCCGGCCAGTGCTATAAACCAGCCACACAGCCACTCACAAAAGTCTTCTCCTCCTTCACACATGAAAGTGTGTTCACATAATCAGAAAATGTGAAGCTGTAGAATTTCAGATTATTATGAAGGAGCCAAGATCATAGAGAAAGAACATCCCAGGTTACTTACTTCATTACCACGCAGATGAGTATCAGGTAAGAATGTGTGAAAGGGGATAAATGCACAGAATTATGCACTAATTGATAAGTGCCTTGCTAATAAAAATCAAAACTACTTTACTCATGATCTAATGGCTGAACAGCATATAGCCTGTTTCCTTTAAAAAAAACATTGAGTTTGATGGGGCAGGTTTTTTGGGTTTGGGGGGTTTTTTGCGTGTGTTTGGTGGGTACTTTTTTTTTAAAAAAAAAAAAGGCAGTCAAGGAAAAACTACTTGGTTTTTAAGACAGATAATTTAATCAAAACAGATAAAATTCTAGATTTCTAAACAATTGGAACAAAATGATATGCTGAGCTATATAGGCTAAAGATGAGCCAAAGGGGAAGTTCCCATTCTTCTCTTTTTTACTTTCATCTCTGCTCTTAGCTTTACCCACCTCTTACCTTGACACAACCCTAGCCATTCTCACACTTTTTGCAGCACTCACTCACCTCAACTCCAAAACAGGGGAAGCATGATTTGGTTTTTTGCAGGAGTTTAGTTTATTCACAGTTTAGCATGTTAAACCAGGCCAGTGCAATGTCTGATGAGCACCAAGGTCAAGTGCAGGAAAAAGGAAGCAAAGCCAGTGATGTAGAGGAGGGCAGTGAAAGAAATATTTACTCCCTAGTTTTTTTCTCAAGGCTGGAGCAGGGAGAAGGGTAGTCCTTCTCTGCGCAGCAGGCTTTTAGATGGGCTTAACAGTTTTTAGCTGTACTAATATTTTAGAATTCTTTCTAGTTTTCAGAAGAATGACTCAAGAATTATTTCATTTCACATCACTAACTTAACAATTCCATACAATACCCAAGTATGTTTTTCACTTCCCAAAACTCTCTATCAGAGTACAGCATGTAATCTTTTAATGAAGTCAGAGCTCTCCAACTATAACTTGCATACAAATCAATGCCTTCTCTTTTCAGCGTTTTACTCTTTAATCCCTATGTTACCGGCACACAGGAAGAGTCATAAATAAAATCATCCACTCAAGTGATATAGATCCATAACAGTATTTAAACATACTTTTCAAGTGTAACTATTAGTCCCCACAAATTCTACTTAATTGCATGAATTATTCTTTTTTTATTATTTTTATCCTTTAGGGTTGTGATAAGCCATTATAAGGTTGGTAGTTACACTCTTCCTCTTGCCTTTCTGAGATTTCAAGGTGTTCCAAGCCTTTCAGATGCTTCATATATACACACAGTCCAACAAATCCTGTCTAACTATGCGTGTATGTATGTTCAGTATTTTGAGATGCCATCTGAGCAAACACTATACCCCATGCCTTGCTGACTAGCCCTTCTACCAAAAGAAAATTTGTCCAAACAGATTAATGCCATACTGTTGTCATCCATGTAGTACAGCAAATAAACCGTTGCCACAGTTTATACTGTTTTGGTTTTTCTATTTCATTTAGTTTGGAAAAAGAAGAGGCAATTATTAGAACACTTGCTCACAGTTTGGATTAGACTAAGGGAAAGGCAACTACATGTAGTATATATCTTTTATGGGTAAGCAGGGGTTCAAGGGGAGAAAGCTCTGGGAGAAAATAATCCAACTTAGTTTGCTTAGTGTTTTACTAGATCAGCTTCCTAAAATAATGCAAATACATTAAGTTTGTCAAATATCTGTTTTCATCTCTTTATATTCAAATGTCACATCACATTAGGTGATAAGGTATTAGCCTTATTTATCTGTCATCTATACCACAAAAAGGAAAAGATGCCATTAAGAGGAACTGCTCTTTACAAAAAAATCTATTCCCATCACCTGTGATCATCTAACATAATTTAAAAAAATCTTTACAGAAGTATTGATTGTAACACAGTGTTCAAAAAAACATGCTAGATTTAAACTACTTCTCAGTGCTAGCAGTGATTCACACACCATACTTGGTACTGCTGCCACAACACGTTTTAGCAAGAGGAAGTGTTATGAGCCAAAATTACTGCTTCCCCAGCAGTGCCTCATCATCCAAGTGAGAAAAGCACTTATTTCCCCACTAGCGCAGGTAAACACTCATCCCCCTGCAAGAAGGGCTGTCCTGAGCAGACCCTCACTCACGATGCCTAAGCTCCTCCTCCGGCTTGATTCTGCTCCCCCCAGGAGGCTTCAGGGGCAAGGCCTAGCAAGAGGCAATCTCCGAACACCACGGCATCATGTAGCAACCACTTATTTAACCCGGGACACGGTCTCTGATGCAAAAGCACGTGGCAGGACGAATACCAGGTGCAAGGCAGGTAAAACTGTACTCTCTTCTCCGCAGTCTGAATCTTTCCTCTCTCTAGTGAGCTCCAACAGGACTTGGCTTTTACAGAGCTTAACGGTTGGACTTGATGATCTTAAAGGCCTTTTCCAACCTAAACGATTGATTCTATGACTTTTTACCCCTGCCTGTTGAATGGCCGTGGGCGGCGCTACTCCCGCCCGCTCCCCGTCGTAGGCGGGAAGCGGCCTGACTGCCCCACAGCGCCGCAGGCAGGCGCCGCGCCCAGCCGCCTGCGGGCTGCGCCGCTCCTCCGCCGGAGCTGCCCGTGACTACTTCCTTTCGGCCAGCGGCGAGGCTAATAGAAACAAAGACAAACAAGCTCTTGGCCACCCCAGGCGCCAGACTTTCGCCCTCTCCCGAAGCGGACTTCTCCTGGAAAGATAGTCCCGGCACCGCTCGCTGCAGAGAAGCAATGCGGCCCCCCCGAGCCTACGACGGCGGGCCGGCCCGCCACATGCGGCAGACCCGCTTCTTCCCACACAAGGATCAGGCGCTGAGCCCCAGCACCTCCCCACTCTCTCACCGGTGCCCCGGTCCCTCTCGTCGTCTTCATCTTCTTCCTCCTCCGGCCCCCGCTCCTCGCCCTGCGCCTCCACCGGCACCACCGTGAAACTCGTCGGCATGGCGCAGACGGCCCCAGACCCGCTGGCACCTCCTCCCAGGGCAGCGGGCCGGGTGAGCCGGGCGCTGCCGCCTCCCTCACGTGAGAGCCATTTCCTCACGCGGGGGGCGGTGGCCGGCACCGCGCCGCCGCCCCTTACCGCCTGACTGATGGCGCTGTGGCCGCAGCTCCGAAGGGAGAGGCTCAGGCCCGGCATCCTCTTGGTCTCATATCTTGCCTTGCAGTTATCCTTGCAGTGCTAAGACCACCGGGCGGCTGCTCTTCTCGTACCACCAGACAGAAACTGCCTTCCAAAGAAAACCAGAGTTGGGCTGTAGGGCCCTGACTCTCCAGGTCACTGAAGGGATGGCATCATCTAGAAGGCCCAACCAGGAGATTTACAGTTCACCTTTTGGACAAGTGGAGGAGGAAGTCCACTCTGCCTTTGGACTACTGAGAGATAAAGATGGTTCCCAGAAATCTGGTCCCCTACACAGCAGCTATGCTTTGCAGAGGACAGGTGAAGGTCCTGTGATTCAGATTGGAGTCAGCATGTAAATTCTGACCTGAAGTAAAGGAGATTCAAAGAATCAATGGATAAGCAGTGTATCAAATTAAATGTTAATGATATAGCACTAGAGATGAGCTGTAGTCCTTGGTTATCTCAGACTTCCTTCCCAGAGGAGGTTGTAGCATCTCCACTGCAAAAGTAAAGAAAATGACCTTAGAAGCCAAGGGCATTTTTCTTGTCTCTTGCTATTCTACCTTCCCAGCAAAGTGCTAGAATAGAGCGGAAAGACTCTATTCATGTCAGTCTGTATCTATGCCTTTTGAAAGGGCACTCTGGTGGGTTTGTGGGTCCAGTGCCTCAGCCTGTCCCACTGCATAGAGGTCTTCAGAGAAAGGGGTAGGGAAAGTGATTCTGGCCATCAAAGGTGGCAGTGAAGTGGCAGATGTGGAGACAGTGGGGCAGCAAGAAAAAGAGAGGGAGAGATGCATTTGATACTTGGTATGGACTTCCAGTTCCACCCCTATTTAAACCATAGTGTCACTACAGTAATGAGAATAGTGGCTGAGCTTAAGAAAGCAACTGGAATGGTGTCTTTGCTAATGACAGCATTTCTGCGATATTAATGATGTTACCTGTGGAGGCAAGGATGTCTGGGGGATTTTTAATGTTAAAGCTCATTTTGTTATGGTACAGACTATTACCAAATTAATAGTGTGAAGGAACTAGATACAACAGTGAAGTAGAATAATAAATGTAATTTTGAAACATATACACAAAATAATAATTTCTTTTTCAAACGAAGATTATTTTTTATTGTTATTTTTGGCCGTTACAGAGTTGTTTTTTTTTTTGCCGTAGCTGTGAGGGGCGGAGCCTGGAGCCATGTGAGCGTGTCTAGGTTATTCTGTACAACCTCACGTCATTGCTGGGGGGCAGAAGTAAGGGATTCACGAGAAGCAGGTGAGCGTGCTTGCAGTCAAGGAAAAAAGCGAAGTGGCCAGAGCATGTATCTGCTATTGTTTTTCATTATCCCGGGTTTGGTGAGCATTTTTGCATGTAAATCACCCTTTCTTTGTAAATCTTTTTTATTAGTATTGTTGCTGTCACTGCTCATTGTTGCTGTTTTCAGTAAATTGTTCTTATCTCAACCAATAATCTCTGCCTTTTGTATCTCCCAGCAGAGGGGGAGGGGAGCGGCTTGTGTTTTCTCTTTAGTGGGAGTACTAAATCGGCAGTACCATTCCTAAACCGTGCGGCAGAATGCAATGTATAAGGTATGAAGTCATGTACGAGTATTGAGAAGAAAATTTTCAATAGCTGATCATCTGTAAAGTAACATCCATCTGATGCCTTGAGAAGTTTATTGAAAGAAACTCGTGTACAGTAAAGATGACAAGTGTAGTATCATGCAGTATTGTACTGCATGCACAAAAGGTTGAGTGGGGAGAAATTAGGACAGCAGCCTTCATTTTACTCCAACCTGTTACATTTTTTTTTGTCTAAAATAGCTAAGAGCCAAAGAAAGAGAAGCTTTGGACCAAACAACTTTTGAATGAACAGAGGCAACACTTCCTCTTCCAACTATCTTCTGTCATAACCATGGAGAACCATCTGATGAAAAATAGGCACAGTTCAGCAAAGATGGTAAATTCATATGGGGTTGTGGGTTGTCCCTCATTACGGGGATACCCTGTAATATGAGAGCTGTGTTTTGTGAGCCTCTTTAATAGTTATTGCACTATGAGGACCTGGGAGTGGGAAAAGTAACTCACTTCTTACATTTATTTATTGTCACGTCCTTTGAAATAGCATGAGATAAGTAGTGGTGTGGTGCATGCCACGTTTAACAACTGACTATTCTGATGGTACGCTTCTTGGAATAAGAAATAAAAATAGAGTGTAAGTAGAATAGGACTAAGACATTATATAGATCTGTATCTAAAAAGCATGGCAATGGAAACATATCATTATATTAATGTTTTATTAAAAAAAATAAAAAAGGAAAAGCTTTCAGTCTGTGTTGTTCCCTGAAAACAGAGCTCTGCACCATCACCATAATGCTGTTTGGCAAGATAGGAAAGCAGCAGGTGCAGCATCAATTCAAACAAATACATCCAGATGGAGCTTTAGAAGTCATTCCTCTTGTTAACAAAAACGGATTTGAGGGCTGAATATTCTACTGAATATTCTACTAACATCCCCCCGAATAAACTAAAAACAAGAACACATGAAGATCTGTGAAAGAAGCTAGTTTATATACCAAGAATAGAAAAAGGATAAAATTAATGCTAACAATTAATATTGTTAGGATCTAAAACAAGACACCTGTCTAAGGAAGTTAATGATGTCATTAAGACACCAATAGCTTAAAAAATTGTATTATTTTTTGTTATGGAGATATTAGAAATAAATCACTAGAAAGAAAAAAACCATACATTTATTGTCACAGGGAAAAAAGTAAAGTCAGAAAGAGCAAAGAAGGAAAGAAGAATGCGTAATAGTCTATGTGACTAACAAAAATCTTCCTAATTTTACATGTTTTCAAGTCATCAGGGCTAATGCAGTTGATGTAAATGAAACTGAAAATAAGATAGTCAGTGACTTGGACTCAGGAATATTACAGTTTTAGAAATCTTGAAAAATTTGGAAAATCCTAAGAGAGTGAATGATTGTCCTTATCAATATTGAGTCATCAATACCTAAAAAGAGGAAAAGAGTGGCTCAGGAAAATTGAGCTAACTGGGTCAATGATACTTTTTTTTTGAGTCAAGATGATCATGATAAATAAATTTTTGGGGACAAGATAATGATCCGTTAAAGTTGTTCTAGTGTTACAGCCCACATGAAAAATAGCGAAAGCATTTGATTTGGTACCAGCTGAAAATTGGTTGGAAATTTCTATGGAATTAACTCCATATAGTTTCCATATATTTCAAAACTGCTTCCTGACAGATCTCAAGCTGTTAGCAGAGGCAGAAAGAAAATGAAGTGTAAGACAGGGAGCAAGGAAAATTAGGATTTGCTCAAACACTTTTTTCATCAGCCATTTTGATTTTCTAGTGAAGTCTGTGGGTGACAATGATTGCAGTAAGTAATGGCAGGAAATGTTTGTAATCTGAAGCAAAAATTTAAAGGCTTTATAATGCAGCCATAATTACATGTGAAGGTCAGGACTACAAGAGGTGAAAATTTATCTTGGAATGTATCTTGGGATACAGTGTAACCCAAACTGAATCTGACACATTCCCAGACTGACCTTTGCCAGACCTTTCTGACTCTTCAAGTATTTGTGTCTCAAAATGCAAGCCAGCTACACTGTGCTTTTTATTTCCTGGATAACAAGTGTTTTCCAGAGTCCCTTGCACCATGCCAAGTGGTATTGTTCTAAGATAGTTTATTGCCTGCTTGTCTCTCCTCAATGAGAGAAGAGGGGCATCACAACCTGCCATTACCTGATTCCTTATGGTCTGTTATTTCTGTCATATAGAACACAGTTCACGTTAGCACATTGCAATGGACTAATTTTGTGAGAGCTAGAGAGTATCTGTTGCCCAAGTGCTCATGCCTAGATATTGCAGTACCTTTTTATATCTATTAAGACACCTGAAGCAAAGTGTCAGATTGCATCTGTCTTGGATTTAGAGCACTATGAAAACCTGATGAAATTAGTCATTGTCAACACAGTCAACACAAGTAGTAATTTGTCACTTTTTAGGCAGGCTGAACAACACCAGAGTGGTCTATTCACACTGTTTTGTGAATATGGAATACCATATTTCTGGAGCAGCTGCTCCAGAAATACTGTATGACTTCTCCATTGTTAAAGAAATTGGTTCAGTCTTCCAGGTTTAGAGCATGCTGATAGAAAAGCACATGAGGGTGGAATGCAACTGAAATGTGACATCCAGCAGCACAGTTGATTTCTCATCTAAATAACAAAAACATTGATAGAGAACATTCTGGAGGATCCTTTGCTGGTTGATCTATTGAAGTTGTATCCACCACAGTATGAAGCATGTTATGATACCATCATGAAAAAAACCTGGGTCTATGTAATTATTGAGCAATATTTGCGTAATTAGTGGTAAGTATTTTTACTTTTAAAAGGCTTGGAACACAACAGGATTCAACAACTATTATTCATTCAGATATATAAATCTTACCTAACCAAAGGCTGGGGAAATTAGGGATGTCAGACATATTTACAATGCCAGCACGCTTACTGAGTAATGTATGCCAAAGCACGTGCTGAATATCACAACACAGGTTTCTAACAAGTTTGAGATTTGCTTTGTAATCCTTTAATGAGTCACTTTGTATTAAATGCACATACATATCTTGATTATACTTGAGTTGCTAGCAGAGCAATGCTGTTGGCTCATTGGCAGGCTTTGCATGACATAATTTTATTTTAAAAAGTAAACTCCTGTGGCTTCTGTAAAAAGAGGGAAACTCAAGAGTTGTATTGGTTTGCTAAAGCAAAAAAGCTCATGGCAGAACTTTGTAGAAATCCTCAGACTGAGTTGGGCCACTTTATCCTATCAGAAGTTTACATGGTGATAGTTTATGGTGCTTTTTAGTCCACAAGGTTGGGTAGGTTCCTAAGGTGCTATGACAGATGGCAGCATTTCTTAAATTTTTGCTGTGGTTTACTGTATGAAAATCTGCATATTGTTTATTTTGTTGTAGAGATGAGATGGATAAGCAACAAAGCAAAAAGGTGTGTACATAGACGTCTCTGACACTGGAGCCTGGAATGGGAATTCTGCCTTTCTAGGCAGCCACTTACACTGGTCAACAGAGAAAGTTTTCAAAGTATAAGACATAGCAGTGAGACAAGGAGAAGCCATTACCTGACAAACTCTACAAAAGATAAGAAGTAAAGATTATCCCAAAGACCAGTACCAAAAGCCAATGATTAGAAGTTACAGAAAAAACAGATGCAAATAAACTACATGATGTGTTTTAACTCCAGGAATGCCACATAATGTTGGTTAATCGTCCAGCAGGATTGTTGAAAAGGCAAATTTCTTTTGAGACTTTGGATTGGTTTGTTGCAACCAGCTTGTCTGAATGAGGCCCTGAGTAACTTGATCTACCCTTGAAAATTTGCCCTTAGGGTAAGAAACTGCACTAAATGACCTCCAGAGGTCATACACTACTTCTTTCTGATTTTGTACAAATGCAACCAGTAGCCCACATCAACTAGGCACAACATAATTTGCTTTTTAACAAAACAAAAAACCAGAAGGAAACTAGAAAGCTTGGTATAGTATCTGTTGCCTTCAGCATCTGCTTCTGCACTCTCCTTTCTACTTTTGCCTCTCTGTGCCAGTATTGTGTGGTATGGGGACATCATGAAACCTAGCTCCTATAGTTTGCCATGCCATGTAGGAAACACTAAAGGTATATAAATTAAAACAGGAAAAAAAACCCAAAACCCTGCACTGCAAACCTCTGTATGGGATGAAGGTAGGAAAACTAACGTTTGCTTACACTAGCATAACTTTCACATACAGCTGTTCCTCTTTGTTGTTGCTGAACCACTACAATTGGGGAGGGAAAACATCATGAAAGTATTTAAAACAACTATATCTCATGAAGTTGTCCTCTGCCAAAATTAATAGCCTCCTCTCTCTCAATGGCATCTGATAGCAGACACAGTTGATGCTGACTTGCAACATAAGGATTCCAGGTTAATCATTGCCAAAATTTGAATGACTTGTGAAACTAGTTTCATAATGCCAAATAAGTGAGGAGAATGTAGAACCATATTAAAAAAAAGGTAAAGAGTTCCTTCATGTCAAACGAGTGGCGGGTAAAAACATTAGGATGATACAATAGCATTTAATATTACCTTTGTTTTGATACTACTCTGCTTTAACTGTGTTTTATTATTCTGCTGACAGAATTTTTACTTGTCAGATAAAAAAATCACTGCATAATCCAATTGCATTGCATTTCTTCTGAAGGGAAACTATGCTCAACTCAATGCTAGGAGTCACTTCCATGAGAACCCCTACCTGGTTCCCTGATATGCACTCCTTGGAAGAGTGAGTTCTCTGCTGGACAGCACTACATTTTCAGTAGAAAGGGTGGGGAGTAGCTTTTTGCATACTCATTAAGAATATTATTTTGAGACATGGGCAATGGCACAGTTGAATCCCCTCAGGCAATAAATGTTTGGAATCCACCTGTAGTACTCCAAGTAACAGGTTATTATGAAAAAACTAGGCGCTTCACCTTCTCTTTTTAATTAAGTAACTTTTGACTGTTATATGCCATATTTTTTAATATGTCTGCTGAATGAGGCCCCTCAGAGGACATAGGTAAAACTGGTGCTTCTCTGCTTTGTCTGAAGGGCAGTGAATCTACATGAACAGGCTAATTCTTCATGTCTGAAGGTGCTCTCATTCCAACACTAAGGAATTTTTCAAATTGAAAATTAGATAATGATTGATCAAGCAAGGTAGTGTTAGCTTTAGTGTCAGCAGTAGTGTTATAAGGGAAGTATGTCATCTCTATTGCCATCTTGGACACAGACACCTGAATCCCTCCCACGTGTTGTATTAAATGCCAAGGAACATGGCCTTAATGTAGTTCATTATTGTTTATAATTGAGTCTTTAGAAGATTGGAGTATTTTTCTTAATCAGCTTCATAATCATAATCATAATCCCTCCATAAATTATGCCAGTATCAAGGATTCATCTTAGTTGAACATTACCTTGTAACTTGTCCATCACTATCAACTGAGAATATTTCACCTATATAGAGACTTCATAGGTATAGTTAGAAGCGACACAGTAAACCTATCAATTTTACATTAAAAATACATAAATTGCTTCCAAAATGTTGAAATTAAAGCTCTCAGATGTTAGTTATAGTTTATCTTCCTTTTAATTTCCCTATGCTTCTCTGCTAAGATCTTTCTTCTCATTATTGGAGTGTTGTAAAACAAAGACGGAATCAGAAGTTCTATGAAC